CAACGTGCAAAACCCCACAAGACTTAACACTGAGGTAGTGAGGAGCTCATAGGCTGCAGTTGTCCTATTCAGTTAAAGTAGAACTGAAGCCAAATTTTGGTTTTGGATAGACTAAGGGGGGTGGGGGGACCCTGGTCAGCTTATTTTGCCATCTGTGTCCCATTTTTCTTTACTTCCTATCCAACAGCCACAACAGGAAGTGAAAGGAAATCCCTAGTAGGATCGGTATCGGTGCATCCCTAGTTCCAGCAGTTTAGGTCAGGAGTCCAAGGGACCTCTACTGTAGGGGTAGGCAAGCTCTGGCCCTCCAGCTGTGGGAGAACTACAAAGCCCATCATGCTTCTGCCTCTGGAAGTCATGCCTGTGGCTGTCTTGCAATGCCTCATGAGATTTGCAGTTGTACCCCAGCTGGAGGGGCGGAGTATGCCTACCCCTGTCTACTGTATGAGAATAAAGGTTTCCTTGAAGATTAGTGAATGGCTTTTGGTCCCCCAATTGGCTAACCTAACTAAAAACTTTCCTATCTCTATCGTATAATCAAAGAGTTCACCCAAATCCACCTCAGGACACAATTCAATTCTGCAACAAAAGTAACCGGAAAAAAGTTCCCATGAGGCCGCCAATAGCGAGCTCACGGCTGCCACCCAACGGCCTCACGAGCTCTGATGGCACGTCCTCGGCTAGCGCGGCATAAAACAAAGCCGGAGCTTTTCTCTGCCTCAAAAGGTTAAAAATACGCCTGAAAGGGCAAGATAAACAATTATGAAAGGAAATTCACATATAAACGCTTCCTGAGAAGCCGATTCTTCCCGATTTGGAGGAATAAAGCCGACAACACAGATAAGCAGAAACAAGCACGCTCCGCCTAAGGGCACCGCGGGCAGCTCAAGAGGCCCTGGTATATCTGAGGCGGCCACATGTCTTCAAGATGGCAAAAAGGGGAATTTTTTTTAGTTTGCTTTAGGGCTGGTAATGATTAACATTTTCGTATTCGATCGAAATCCTTCCCTTCGTTAGCCGACGGAGCCACTTGGGGAAGGGGGGAGGAGTCCGGTGACGTCGATGTCCGTGACGTCACCGGATCGCCGACGGGACTCCCGGAAGCCGGCGGAGAGGCGAGTGTTTTCATTACCGATCAAAATAATTTTAATCGATCAAAAAGTTTAACGATTAATCGAGAAATTAATCTTTAATTTCCACAGCCCTAGTTTGCTTGTTTGATCTATTTCTATACAACTGAAAACGTTCCTAAAATGATACTTCACAGAGGCTGACCGAGCTTTCACAGTACAAAAACCGTTTTGTCAGGTCTATAAACCAACAAAGGTCATTGCCTGCAATCCCTAGTGGGCGTGGCAAAGTATGACATGACATTGCTGTGCTGCACATCGCCATTGTGGGAGTGGCTAATCTTAACGCATAGTTACCCCCCTTAAGAAAGAAGTAATATGCAGGCAGTCCCCGGGTTACTTACATACGACTCCTACTGACAAACGGAGGCTATTACTGTACAGCAGGGGGTAGTTGTAATGCTACCGCGCTCGTGCCGACGAGGAGTGCCCACCTTTTTGGGTCTGTTTTGTAGTACTGTGCGTACATTACAGGAAGTTGGCTCTTGTTAGACGTGCAGATGAGGGGTGCCCGCCTCTTCCTCCGGGTCACTGTGAGGTTTTTACTGCTGTCTGTATCCTCATTAGAAATATTTAATCTCACTTCCTGTCCTTGAGGCAACAGGAAGTGAGAGGAAAATCTACCCCTAGGAAGGGAAATTCACTCCTGTGAAAGTTATCATGGGAAAAAGGTGTCTCCACTGAAGCTTTATCGCCAATCCTTGTTTCCAAGGCAACCCAAAATTTTAAAAATCTAAATTGTCACAGGGACAGAGAGTGAGGTGAAAACTTCTGAACAGAGGCACACACATCAAAACAAACTTTACAGGGAGGTAACCTTTCCCTATGCTATCCAAAAGAAAACAAAAACAAAATTTGTGCTGAGGTTACACTTAAATAATGTACCTGTTCCAACTTGCATACAAATTCAACTTAAAAGGAGAACTATGGGGTTATGGCTTTTCCCCATAGTTCTCCTTAGGGTAACGGGAGGACACAAACTAGCGTCCTCCCGTCACCCTAGGCTCAGTATACCGCGAGCTATAGCTCGCGGTATAATGAGACGGCGCAGCTGAAGCAGATCCCGACAATTGTGCCGGGATCCGCCCATCTGCGTGACTGACAGCTGGCTCTGCCTATCTAGAGGCAGAGCCAGCTGTACCCGCCCCCTCCCCTGTCCGTTCCGCCAGTCAGCGCTGGCGGATCGGAGCGGGGAGGGGAGAATCCAGCCCCACCCCTGCCACGGCAAGAGGTGAGCGAGCGCCGGTATGTGTTCTCTCACTTCCCGATCTACTGAGCCGACCTGTGACAGTCTCATTGTCACAGGTCGGCTAGAACTATGAGGTGAGTGAAAAGCACCCCCCCCCCCTCATAGTTCTCCTTTAAGAACAAACCTACAGTCCCTATCTTGTTCGTAACCCAGGGACTGCCTGTACTGCAGCACATCAGTCCTTAGATGCGATGGTTGCATTCGTTTTCCGTTTTAAGGCATCTTTCACTTTCATTTCACCCGGCGATCCTGCGAATAACGCATTTCATGTCCCTTAATGGCTACACTCACTTCTCTACTATATCTATGGTTGTCACACAGGATGGACTTTAGACATGTCTGCTTTTGCTCGTCTGCATTATATGCTATTTGATGGGAATTAGAGACTACACAGGATAAACAAATATTGCTTTTACGGTCTTTTCAGCTCACAGGAAGTGACGAGGACACTGCATTTCTGGCAGGATCAACACTTACTGAAAATATACTTCGCCTAAGCAACAAAAAAAAAAAAAGGAATGCAGCCGCCACCTCTATGGACCTGTGAACTACAATATATTACAATTCTGGGTTTAGATACAGCCAACAGATTTTGTGTATGAACGCTCGGATGGAAATCTCCCAGTGTATGGCCGGCTTCACTCTCCACAACTGTTAGGCTGGGTTCACATCTAGGCGTATGGAAAACGCGCGTTTCACGCCGCGCGTTTTTACTGCGATTCGCAGTAAAAACACGTGACAAAAGCGCGTTTCCGAGGGCTACCAGGCTGTATCCCAATGGATACGCGCGGCAAATACGCCCAAAAGAAGCTCCTGTACTTCTTAGGGCGTTTTGCAGCGCGTTCCTACGCGCTGTAAAACGCCCAGGTGGGAACCATGCCCATAGGCAATCATTGGTTTTCACATGTTGAGCATTTTACAGAGCGTAGGGACGCGCTGTAAAACGCCCAGCTGTGAACCAGGCCTTAGTCTTGGCTGGAGTTGGACTTTACATAAACATTTTGAGGCCCGGCCACCATTGCTAGACACACGCATGCATTAGATACAAATCCAGCAAAATCTCAACGGTTACAAAGTTGCCGTCATATGTACAGCAGTAAACACACGCTCCTCACTCAGTACGCCGATCACTCAGGATTTCATTCTGTAACATTTTAACTAGAAGAAGAAAGATAAAAAGAAAACAAGCAATGACGTGACTTACAAGTACGACTTCAATTCCTCTTTTCCTAAAAGAAAAAGAAAAAACAGGACAGTTAATCGACCTGTAACAATGCAGAAAATGAATCAACAAACGACTGATGTGAGGCACCAAATCCAACATTAAAAAGTGGAAATTCGGCTTTGGAAAGGAAATTTGCCACCAGGGAGAGACTCCGAGAACTTACTGAAACTTTAGCAGACGGAATCTGGAGCAGCCGTGCAGAGTAACCAATCAGCTTCTCTCTTCAGCTTGTTCAGTTAAGCTTTGACAATGAAATACAAAAGCTGATTGGTTGCCATGCACAGCTGCTCCAGTTTTAGTCTGAAGGACTCTTTATCTCTTCTGCAATAAACGTCTTTGTGCTAGCAAGTCTCTAAGACACACACTGACCCTGTGCGCATGTGGGGGAGATACATTATCCCGAGCAAGTCAATCAATGTGACCGATAATGCTGAATCTGGAAGAAGGCTGGGGTGGCATTGCCTTGATTTGTTTAGTCAAAAGTAGGTTGAGTGTGGCTGGAGTTACAATAACATTGGCCTAGTGGAGAATTTGACAGGCCAAAGATAGCTTGATACAGTATATGGCCAAACCTTCGTGGACACACAACTATCACACCTACTGTATATGAGCTTTTTTTTTTAGACATCCCATTCCAAGACCATGTACATTAATATGGAGTTCCTCTCAACCGCATGGCCGTTAATATGAAGTTCCCCCCAAACCCATTAATATGAAGTTCCCCCAATGCCACATGGCCATTGATATGGAGTTCCCTCCACCCCCATGGCCATTGATATGGAGTTCCCCCATGGCCATTAATGTGGAGTCCCCCCCCCCCCCACCCCCTCCCCCCCCCTCTCTTTTTTTTTGTCTGTGGGAATTTGTGCCCGTTTGTGAGGTCAGGTACTGGGCTATCTTGGGCGAGATGACCTGGCTCACAATCAATGTTCCAATTCACAAAGGTGCTCAGCAGGGTTGAGGTCAGGGCTCTGTACAGAACACTCGAGTTCCTCCACACCAAACTCATCAAACAATGCCTTTATGGAGCTGGCTTTGTACACAGGGGACAGTCATGGCGGAACAGAAAAGGGTCTTCAACAAACTTTTACCACAAGGCTAGAAGAGAACAACTGCCTACGATGTCTTTGTATGGTGTAGACCCACCAGTTGCACATACATCGCATCCTTTCTTTCTTCTCCTGCTCCATTCAGCTGCTAGGAGTGAAGAGAGGAAGTCCTCTGTTGTGAATTGGAGCTTACGCCGGGTAAAGGACTCACATGGTAGGGAGTAGGTCACCTACTCCTTCATACACAGAAGAACCACGCTTTTGTCTTTGGTGCTGCTGGCCAAACAATATGGCGTGAAAGTGAATGGAAGGCAGTAAGTGCTGCTGGTGGGACCATCTGCTGCCTTGCCCGAGACCCAATTATTACCCCATCGCTGCCATCTTGCTTTAACATACCAGAAGATAAAGCCAATGACAGAGCGTACATTGAAGACAGCTCTGTCCCTCCCCCAGTGACAGTCCCCGCTCTCTATATACGACCACAGCCAGGGGCATTGTGGCTACAGATGGAGATGAGGGCTTGGATACAAAGTCTAAATGAGCAAATTGATATCCCTTCTCTGTTATAAACGAGCCCCCATGTCTACAAGATGGGCCCCCATGACTACAAGTTGGGCCCCCATGACTACAAGTTGGGCCCCCATGTCTACAAGATGGGCCCCCATGTCTACAAGATGGGCCCTTATGACTACAAGTTGGGTTCACTTTAAGACCAGGAATTCTCAGAGGGATTTGCCCTAAAAGAATAAGTTTGGCCTTTCGCTGCTAAAAAAAACAATAAATCTTAAACAGTAAAACTCAATACAATATTTATCTTGGACGAGAACATCAAAGTTGCTACAAAATATTCCCAAAGTAAACGTTTATTTTTCCTTCCGGCCTCTATAATTATTCTTGTGTCTGCTGAACAATATTTTGATCTTCAGCTGTCGAGCAAAAACAACCAAGAGGGAGGGTTCACGGCGAGCGTTGGCTGTGCGTCCGTCAGGAACCCGACACTGATAAGACAGGAAGCAGAAAGCACGAGATCTGCTCTAGTTTAAGAAGAACTCCAAGTGGCTGTATAAAACACTGCTTAGTAGAATTACGCTTCGGCATTGTTTGGTCTAAGTCAGTGACCTGAAAAGGATCAGTGGTATTGGATCAGCGTTATTGCCAGTCAAACGGCATGCTCAAGGGGTGGATTCAGCAATTGTAGCTTCTATATATAGGGTTCAGGTTCCTGGCGCTGATGCTGACTTTACTATCTAGTGTGGTACTGGTGGGCAGCCATGCTGAATCTGCATGCTCATCCCAAGCTGGAGACATAGTGTATTCGGAAGCCATAACAGAGTGGTGCTCCAAGACCAGATCAGCAATGGCAGCTCCCATGTGTCTCTCCTCACAGGTGTCCTTTAAGTTGAAACGTAGCGGTTGGAGGTGGAAAATCAGGATTTCAGTAGAAGTTGCTCTTGATGGTAATGGGTCGGAGGGGGATGTGCAGGTGGTGAAAAGAATGAGGCTAGGCAGTGGCACAGAGAGCAAGCAGGGGGGAGGCAGTTTCACAGTGAGCAGGTAGGCGGTGGGGCAGTGGCACAGCTAACAGGCAGGTGGTGGGAACTTAGAAGCAGGGAAGTTGCACAGAGAGCAGGCAGGAGGTGGGGCAGTGGCACAGAGAGCAGGCAGGAGGTGGGGCAGTGGCACAGAGAGCAGGCAGGAGGTGGGGCAGTGGCACAGAGAGCAGGCAGGAGGTGGGGCAGTGGCACAGAGAGCAGGCAGGAGGTGGGATAGTGGAGGTAGGACAGTGGCACAGAAAACAGGCAGGAGGTGGGAACTTAGAAGCAGGGAAGTTGCACAGAAAGCAGGTAGGAGGTGCAGCAGTGGCACAGAGAGGAGGCAAGAGCTGGGAGAGTGGAGGTGGGATAGTGGCACAGAAAACAGGCAGGAGGTGGGAACATAGAAGTGGGGAAGTTGCACAGAGAGCAGGTAGGTGGTGCAGCAGTGGCACAGAAAGGTGGGGCAGTGGCACAGAGAGCCGGTAGGAGGTGCATCAGTGGCACAGAGAGGAGGCAGGAGGCGGGGCAGTGGCACTGAAGGCAGGCAGGAGGTAGGGCTGCGGCACAGGAGCTGGGATAGCGGAGGTGGGATAGTGGCACAGAGAGCAGGCAGGAGGTAGGGCTGCGGCACAGGAGCTGTAGTACTGCAGACCATGAAACCATCTGCAACACAGCTCTTTAATTACTGAACTGTTTATAACCAACTTACACCATGGAAACCCCGGCCAATCACCAGAGACCCGACTATACCCCCAATATGTGCTTTATAATATCTTTTATAATACTTATTTACCTTTTGATTGGTATCTGGCTATTTCTAAAAAGGAAAAAGTTCACAGTAACTGATAAATTATTCTGATAAATGAAGGTGATAAGAAAAATTGGAATTTATTGAGCAAACAGTAAAAATTAAGAACCCGGAAACATTTCCTAAAGAAAATGGCAGCTTTTATTTTCCTGCAGGCTAGAGATGAGCCTAACCAGCCCTCCCCCCCTCCCCCTGGGAATTATGGGAAAAGCACACTATCAGCAGCTTTATTGTCCGATAAAATAGTCCTAGGAGCAGCTGTGCCTTTTCTTAAAAGGGAAAGCATAAGCATTCATTGGCATTCGTGGGCATGCTGGGACTTGCAGTTCCCCTGAAGCTGGTGGGTCAGCGCCGCCATTGCCTGTGTACCGTGCATGAGCCATCAGATGAGACATTTGAAGGAGGAAAGTCTAGAAAGCAAAAACAGGAAGCGCAGCACAAGTGCACAATCAGCATGTCAGCATGGCGAAGGCGGCGGGGGGAAGTGGGTGTTGTGTGCCTGCGATCCGAGCCGGCCTCGCAGAGCAGGTCAGTCGCCATGGCAACCAAACAAGGCCTCAGCGTGAAAAGCTGTCAGCCGATGAAGTGCTCCATAGACGGAGTTCACCGGACGAGGCGGCCATGACAATTCATCAATTAATTAACAAGAAGGGGGACACAAACGTTCAATTCAGGACTTTGTGTGTTCGGAGAGAGTCCGGCGCATTTCAGTAACGTGCGAGCTGTCCGGTCCCACACAGGGCGACAAACCACACACACAAAATTGGCAGCAGCCCCTCGGCCTCCAGTGTTTACAAATTAACTATAGACACACTTTTAAAACTGTAAAGTAGTCACCGCTCCAAGCTCGGTCCCGGGATGGACTACAATCTCATGTCTAGTTTGCTCATTTGTATTGAGATTGTAGTCCATCCCGGGGGGCAGAGCTTGGAGCGGTGACTACTTTACAACACACACAGGCACCATGGGGAACAAAAGGAGTCACCCTCCAGAAGGAAGGACAGTGTCAGCACCAATTCAGAGATGATTGGAGGATCTACAGCCGAGTGATACACAAATAACATACATTGTTGGTAATAGTTAAGGGACCTGAATGTATTTTTAAGATTGAACTCCTGAGTTTAGTGTCACTTTAAGGCTAAGGGTTATGTTTAGAAGCAAGTCCGAGTTCAAGGTTGGCACTAGGGGAACAGACATTCAGGTAGCGGTAGAGGTAGAAGTAGGAGTCGGGGTAGAAGTAGGAGTAGGGGGAAGAGGCAGGGATAGAAGTAGAAGTAGGGGGAAGAGGCAGGGATAGAAGTAGGGGGAAGAGAAGTAGGGGTAGAGGTAGAAACCACAATAGAGGTAGGGATAGGTGTATGTGTTGAGGCAGAAATAGGGATAGGGGGTAAGAGTACGGGTAGAGGTAGAGTTAGAGGTAAGGGTAGGGGTAGAGGCCGGAGTAGGAGTAGAGGTAAGGATAGTGATAGGGGTAGAGGTAGGGATACAGGTAAGAGTAGGCATGGGGGTAGAGGTAGGAATATAGGGGTAGTAGTAGGAGTAGAGGCAGGGATGGGAGTAGAGGTATAGCTAGAGGTAGGCATAGGTGTATGTGTTGAGGCTGCAGTAAGGA